AAGCAGCTCCTCCCCTCCGGGAATTAAAAAACAGCATTAATACATTCTTAAGACAATTGTACGCACACGCCTAGGCTAATTACGCATCGATCAAATCAGCTCCCGAGCATTAGGTGCTCTTTGTGTTTTTTTAATAAAATAAACGACATCCCCCACTAACCTCAACTATCTCTTCTCTACCAAAACTATCTTTAGTTCTAGCCCAATCGTCATCATCTTTGTTTTAACGACCCCATAATTCCTTGCGGGGTGGAGTCTGGGCAACTGAATGGAGCTGGCCGGATGCCACTCCTGTTGCCAATGCGGAGTTTTGTTCAGCAGGTATATTCTCATTGTGCCCAGAGAGAGAAACATCCTATTCTATCTGGGAATCAAACTCCCAGCCTCTCGATTGTGAGGCGAGAGCTCCCCCTGCAGGCCACCGCACCACTCCTATCTTAAGTTCTAACCCAATGATGGCGAGAAATTGCAATTTTCGTGTACATTAAGATGGCCTTTGGCAATTAATTCGGGCATCTTTCGGAAACCCGACAGCCTTATTCCCACGTACAGTTCCCACTCTCTTGAAAGCAAGCAGTAAAAAAAAACCCCAGGCATCGGACTAGAAATGACGGCTGGGCTTCCCGCCACAGCTGGCTGTTGTTATGATGGGCTCCCTGAAATGCAAAGCGCCCCAACCCTGAATCAAGGCTTGTTCTAGAACCATGGGGAGGCAAGGACCCTGTTCTAGCTATTCTCCATTTCAAGCCAACTTCTTAAAAAGACCCTTTTTAAAAATAAAATAAAAGAATTTAAATTTTTTTTTTCTTTAAACGGCAAATCAAGAGCGATATCCCCACGCGGCGCAGTGCGCGGACGAAGTGGTCGGTTAAACTTACAGTTGCAACGCTTCAACGTACTGCAAACTCAAAGAGTCCTTGAGGATGGGTGGGGTTTTTGTTTGTTTGTTTGTTGGGGGAAATAAAAAAGGAAATAAAACACGGAGCAGACGAATTTGCTACCCTGAGTCTCCAAGAAGGCTGCAGCCTGGGAGGTTTTTGTTTTTTTTTGTTTTAAAAGAGGTTTGCGTTGTGCTCGGCTGCTGGCTTTTTTGTGTGTCAGCTTCTTGAGTGGAAGGCTGGGCTGCCCCATCTGGTTTTAACGCAGAGCGCAAGCTCAACAGGGTGAGTAACTCAGTGGAAATGAGAACCTCGCGAGGAGGTCGGGCAAGGGACTGCCTGAATAGGCACAACTACAGGAAAACTGATCATCAAGGCGAACTTATTATTATTATTTGTAAAAAAAAACAAAACAGGACTTTTCAAAGGCTTCTCTCTGCTCCGCTGGAAGACGGTCAATAGGCAGCCCGATGAAGGTGTAGTAAGACGCCTCTGCTCTCTCCCGGTTTCTTCCACGAATTCTTCAAAGTTTACCGATTCAAATTCTTCCCGATCAAGGCAGGAAAAAACAACCACCACCAACAAAAACCCTCACGCTCCGCTCGGCGTGCGGCGAGAGATTCCTTGGCTTGTGGCTACCACTGCACTCCAAACAAAAAAAAATCTATCTATATATGTATATATACATATGTATATATAGATATATCTGGCCGTATTAAAAAAAAAATGGTGAGGCACTTCTGGCTTGGTTTGCACTTTTTTTAAAAAAAAAAAATACGAAAAAATAATCTTGATATTTCCATACTCTATTTACAACGCTTCCTGCTAGGTCCTTGAAGCTTTAATTTCTTTTCTTTTTTTTTTCTTTTTCCTCTAATAATAATAATAAAAAAGAGGTTTCAATTTTATTTACTCTTCAAAATGGCAAAAAAATAAAAAGAGTCCACCGATCCATCAAAAGGAATGCATTTTGTTTTGTTTTGTTAAATGCGTCGGGGAAATATATATATATGTATATATATATATACATATAAAACACCTCCAAAGGCTTCGACTCGGCACCACACTTGAAGGAAGGACGTCAACACCGGTATTCCATGTTAGATGAGAGCCTAGAAAATGGGCGATGCCTTCCTCAGGCCATACTAACCTTTACACTTGAGGAATGTGATGGAGAAGAATGGGTATCTATTTTGCGACGTTTTTGTTCTGAAAGACAAGGAAGGGAGGAAGAGAGAGAGAGAGAAGTTTGGAAGGTTAAACCTGTCCAGTCTGCGTGAATCAGGTGTCAGGTTTCCTAAAAATGCCCTAATTGATTCATGAGTATCGAGCCAAGTTTCAATACAAAACTAGTCATATTTATTAGGAGCACCATTAGGCAAGGCCTTTTTGCTGTCAGATCTAAGCTTTGTTTGAATTATAGCTGAACTTTTCGCAGTCAAGGCGAAATATATCTGAACTTTACTCCTGTTCCTTCCCTCCCCTCAGTCTGTGTCATGAATCACATTCACCAATGAGGTGCACCCCTCCCAAGCCTGCTGCAGTAAGCTGAGATCCGACTCTAGCCGAAAGTATGCGTGGACTGCGCTCCCCTCCTTTCCCTCACCAGGACAACTTTAGGAGTTGACATTGGGTCTCCTTCGTGCCGGAGAGTCTACAAAAAGATGGCAGATCGAATTTCTTTGCCACATCGACAGCTGGCTTAACGTGATTGTTCAGCTAACTGGCTAAGGCCGCCCTCCCAAAATGGGCGAAGCTCAAAGGGAAATGGGACTGAAGATCGAGATGGACTGACAGCCAGTTTACTCCCAGTGATTAAGGCAGCAGGCGAGAAACCAGGAGATGGTGAGTTCTTGTCTCACCTGAGGCATGAAAACTGGCTGGCTGATTTTGGTCCAATCACCAGGAGAGGGTGAGTTCTAGTTCTGACTTAGGCAGGGTGACTTTGGTCCGATCACCAGGAGAGGGTGAGTTCTAGTCCCGCCTTAGGCATGAAAGCCGGCTGGGTGACTTTGGGCTGATCACTAGGAGAGGGTGAGTTCTAGTCCCGCCTTAGGCATGAAAGCTGGCTGGGTGACTTTGGGCCAGTCACCAGCAGACAATGAGTTCTAGTCTTGCCTCAGGCATGAAAGCCAGCTGGGTGTCTTTGGGCCGATCACCAGGAGAGGGTGAGTTCTAGTCCCGCCTTAGCCATGAAAGCTGGCTGGGTGACTTTGCAAGGAACTCGCTGCTGCAGCTGGGGGTACAGATTCTGTGTTCAGTGCTTTTCTTATGGAAATTAAATGCTGACCCAAAACAGAAACAAAGAGGGTCAACCTACCCCTTTCGGAATCTGACGTTTCTGACCGGGGAACAGGCGACTTCAAGGACCCAGCAAGTGGAATCTTCTCTCCTCCTCCTCCTCCGCCTCCTCCTCCTCCTCTAATGACTTCCTTGGATTTCATCTCCTTGGCCACTTCTCGCTCTCTTGATGGCTCCTTCTCTCTCTCCTTTTCCACCATTGATTTGGACTCAGCGTTGGTCACAATAATCTTGGATTTTTCCTCTTTGGATGGTTTTTCTTCCCGCTTGATCTTCTCCTTCTCTTTGTCAGCCTTCGGTGTCTTTTCCTTGGCCTCTCTTGCCTTCTCTTCTTTGTTCGCCCTCTCTTCCTTTGGCTTCTCCTTCCCGTCTTTCCCGAGCAATTTAGCTTCAGGAGTGCCGGCTGGGATCTTCTCTTTCTTCTCCTTCTCTTTCTCCTTCCCGCATTTCTCTTTGTCCTCTTTCTCTTTGACAAGTTTGCTGCGACCGAGACGAGGAAGCGAGGGTTAGAAATCGGAACAGTTTCAGCAACTCTCTTAGCAATAGCTGTCCTCGACTTATGACTATTTATTTAGCAATTGTTTGAAGTTACGATGGCTCTGAAAAAAGGGAGTTAGGACTGGTCCCTCGCACTTAGGACCGTCATAGCTTTCCCCCACAGTCATGGGGTCCCAATCTGGGTGCTCGGCAACCTGGCATGTATTTACGATGGTTGCAGTGTCATGGGGGGAATCACATGACCAACATTTGTGACCATCCCAGCAACAAAAACCAATGGGAAAGAGGCAGGAATGAAATGCTATGAACTTATAGCATCTATAATCTGCGGGTATGCGGAGTCTCCTGCTGTTGCCACTACTAGTTTTTCTGAACCAGGGCAAACTAGCAGAATGCCACTTCTGGAAATAGGACAAGCAATGTCATGAAATTGTGTGCAGTCTCGTGACGTCTCCCTTAATGACTGTATCGCTTAGCGGCAAGAGTTCCACTCTCAACTGTGGTCACATGTCGAGGACTACCCTGACCCTAATTCCTAAAAGGCTGCTTCTATCCTTTTTTTCTAGCCAATGCTTCCTCCCGCTAGGAAATCCTGCATTCCACAGATACCAAGGCAGCTGGGCCTCACCTGGCGTTTCCATTGCTGGCAATCACCTTGGGCGCCGCGTTGGCGGCTTTGCTGACCACTTTAACCGCGCCCAGAGACTTCTCCTTCAACTTATCTGGTTTCAAAAAGAAAAAGAAAAAGAAGGAGGGAAAAAATTACCGACGTCAATTCAATGACAGTGTAAAAGTTTTGGAAGGGATGGCAATCCGCTAGCATCCTAGCAAATCACCTTTCTTTTGGTGGACAAGTTGCTATGACCATGGAGGTGGATTGTGGGGTGTAAACGTAAATCATTTTACGTTTACACATTTTTGAGTACATTTACCATATTTTTCGGTATATAAGACGCACCAAAATTTTGAAGAAGTAATTTTTTTTTAAAAAAAGGGTTTTGCACTCTGCAACCTCCCATACTCTCTGCATGCCTCATTTTTTTGTGAAAAATGGAGCATGCAGTGAGTTTGGGAGGCTTGTAGAGTGTGATGGGCGCTGGGAGGGGGGAACGGGGACACAAAAACAAGCAAAAAATGGCCTGTTTTTCCACTCGCTTTTGCCCTTCCCAGCTCCCAGGAGCACTTTGCAGGCCTTCCAAACCCTCTGCATGTCCATTTTGGCTAAGGGGACGGGGTTTCGGGAGGTTAAAAATGCCGTATTCAGTGTATAAGACGCAGCCAGATTTTCACCCTCTTTTTTGGGGGGGGAGGGGGAAGGTGCGTCTTATACTCCGAAAAATACGGTACATGTTTATGCAAATGAGGTAATCACAGGCAAAGGATGCACTTGATGTATATTTGCCTCTGTCTGAACCCTGGCATCTGCATCTCGGACATTCAAGGGGATCTCCTGGACCGAACCCTCCTCCCTCTTCCCGCGGTTACTCCATTAAAAAAAAAAGGGGGGGGCTTGGCAACGATGAGGGCAAAGACCCACCTGTCTCCTCGGCGGTGCTTTCTTCCAATTTAGCTGGGTTTATCATGAGCGTAGGGAGCCCTGCTCCCCCTGGCCCGTTTTGAACCATGGCGGGCACTGCGTTCCGGGTGGGAAGGTCCTTCTGATGGAAATCGTTTTCAGGAACCATTTTTCTACTTTTCAGTTGGCCAGAGTAGCTGAAAGCCGCACACAGGGTTAAAAAGGGGCAGTACACACAGGCAGAAAAGTAAGACACACAAACACACACACACACTTGAAAATGCTGCTGCTCAGGAAAGGAAAAAAAATTAGGGATTTTCACTACCACCATAAGTACTGTCTTTTTCACTAATGCTCAGTTTGGTACAAACCGGTTTGTGTGTGTCTCAAGTCTCCTGCGATTGCTTAATAGCAATAGCCCTTAGACTTATATACCGCTTTACAGAGCTTTTACAGCCCTCTCTCAGTGGTTTGCAGAGTCAGCCTCTTGCCCCCAAACAATCTGGGTCCTCATTTTACCCACCAAAGAAGGATGGAAGGCTGAGTCGACCTTGAGCCTGGTGAGATTCGAACTGCCGAACTGCAGCTAGCAGTCAGCTGACGTAGCCTGCGATACTGTGCCCTAACCCACTGAGCCACTTGGCCATCAAACCTGACGAGACCTTCATTGTCAAAGCTGCCCCAAATTATTCTCCCCCCCCTCCTTTTTGCCTGTGCTCTAAACTGCTGGTGTGTTAAACAGAAACACGGAAGTAGCCTTAAGAAGAAAAGAAACAATTCTGGGTTTTTACGGCTGTATTTGTATAGGTAGCCCAAAATATTTGAGCCCGTTTCTGCAGCTCAGGGAGTCATTGGTTAAGTCAATTTTGCTCCCTTTTATCTCCTCTCTTGCCACCGTTGTTAAAGTGAACCCATTGCAGTTGCACCCCTGCTGCCTTTCTACCAACTCTGGATTTGGCACCGGGAAGGGGGGGGGGGCATGTGGTTCTCTTAAGCCTCTGGGGTATCCTGAACCCCTTTAAGGGACCGTGACTCTTAAGTGTCTGGTTGCCTAAAATATCCTTTTGCTGGCTTCCAAAAGAATAATCGAAACAGCTGACATTTGAACAGAAACGTATGGCTAGCCTTAAAATTGTGTCCCAGGGTATTTAAAAAAAAAAGAGGATAAAAGAGAGAAATACAAGGTGAAAGGCAAGAGGGGCGAGATGGCAGCATATGTAAAAAAATAATGTCCCCTTTTGCGACCGTCAGACAAGCATCAATGCTAGAAAGGAATGGGGGCGAGGGGGGAGAAGGAGGAGGGGAGGAGAAAGAGAAGGGGGAGAAGGAGGAGGGGAGGATGGAGAAGGAGTGGGAGGAGAATAAGGAGAGGGGAAGAGAACAGGGAGGAGGAGAAGGAGGGGGAGGAGGAGAACAGGGAGGAGGAGGAGGGGAAGGGGAAGGAGAAGGAGGGAGAGAAGAAGGATGGGGAGGAGGAGAAGGAGGGGGGAAGGAGTGGGAGAAGGGGAGGAGGATAGGTAGGAGGAGGAGGAGGAGGGATAGGATGGGAAGGAGTGGGAGAAGGAGGAGGAGGAGGGGGAGGAGGAGAACAGGGAGGAGGAGAAGGAGGAAGGGGTGGAGGGGAAGGAGGAAAAGGAGGAGGAGGGGGAAGATGGGGAGGAGGGAAAGGAGAAGGAGGGAGAGGAGAAGGAGGGAGAGGAGAAGAAGGAGGAGAAGAAGGAGTGGGAGAAGGAGAAGGGGGAGAAGGAGGGGAGTATAGGTAGGAGAAGGATGGAGAGGAGGTGGAGGAATGAAGATAATTGGAAGCCTGGAGGCTAAAACATATGAAGAACGGTTGCAGGAACTGGGAATGTCTAGTTTAATGAAAAGAAGGACTAGGGGAGACATGATAGCAGTCTTCCAATATCTCAGGGGCTGCCGCAAAGAAGAGGGAGTCAAGCTATTCCCCAAAGCACCTGAGGGTAGAACAAGAAGCAATTGGGGGGGGGTGTCAAATGGGGATGCCAGACTCACTAAAACAGCTGTGTCACTAACTTATAGACTTGCAACGAGCGATTCGCTGAACAGCGGTGGCAAGAAAGAAAGGTCGTTAAAATAGGACAAAACTCACTTCAGGGACGTCTCGCTTACCAGCCAAAATTGGGGGGCTCAAAATACCTGTGTTGACCAAGTCAACACAGATAAAACAAAAATGGAATTTCGGGTGAGTTGCAACATGTCTCTTTCCTTCACCTGCCATTAGTCAATCTATGACCTAAGAGATCCTCCATTTCATTTTTCTCTCTCTCTCCTTGGGCTGTTTCTGACTTTGACAAGAACTTTATCAGAATAGCTCTTTTATTTGCTTTTTCTCCCCCCCCCCCCTTGGAAAATGTCAATTCTGTTCTATTACTCATCTCGATAAGCTCCCTGGGCCATCGCTTAATCAAGAAAGGCTGTCGATTTAAAGGATTTAAACGGTTGATACTTCTTCATTTATCTCCCCTCTGTCAATTTTATTCAACCAGAGGATACACGATATAAACTTTGAAAGGTTTTGTCAGATCTGGAAGCCATCTTTTACGTTTGGGCTTTCAGGCCTGCCAGAGTTTCTACTGTGGGGAAACGAGAGGGAGGAATTATATGGAGTATGGGAGATATATAGCCAAAATAACATTCTTTTTCTTAGAGAATCAAGGACGTCTTGCCCTGAAGTTCCGATGGGATGACTGGGAAGCATCTCCAGTTTTGGACGATGTCAAGAATGGACACATGGTATCTATGCTGTGCCACCTCCCTCAAATCAGCTCTCATTGTCTGCAGTATTACTGGAGAATGCTTCTAAATCCTATTTCAGGACTAGCATTGGCAAGACACCAAGAGTTATTTCTAGGCCCAGACTAAGGCCCAGGTTTACAAGCTGCAAATTTCTCTTTACTAAGAAGCCCAGGTCTTTTACCTTTTGGACTTTAGGCCTGCCCCATTTTCTACTGTGGGAAAACGGGAGGCGGGATTATACAGAGTGTGGGTGAAATGTAGCCATAACAACATTCTTTCTCGGAAAGTTAAGGTCATCTGGCCCTGCAGCTGCGATGAGGTGACTGGGAGGCATCTCCAGTTTTGGATGGTTCCTGATTGGGCCATGTGATGGACATGTGGGAGCTGGGCAGGGCCTTGAACTTTCACTTGGGTGGGGAAAACCTGGAAACTTTCTGATTCGAGCTTTCCCAGATACGCCAAGGTAACATCTCTAATAAAATGAAACTTTGAGGAAACTCAAGTCTCGGCGTTTTGTTTTGTTGGGGGTGTTACATGGAACCCTGACAAATTCTTGAGTTGGTTAAAATACAAGGTATTTTCTTATGGACATATAAACCATTTTACAATTTAAAAAAAAAACCCACACCAACACCCACCACCTCTGTATGACTTGATAATGACAGTTTTTCACCGTCGGTCAAAACTCAAACTCAGATCAAAAGTTGATCTCAAAATTGAGCTTCCGCAGTGTTGGGGGTGTCTTTTTTGACAGACAGTTTAAACTTGGGTTTCTTGGAAAGGGAATTGTTTTGTTACCCCATGGCTAACGCATATAGGTCTGGTCTCTTTTCTTTCTCTTCCTCGTAAATCTTACGGACTCTTCGTTCCAAGGCCTGGCCCAGATTCACCACCTTTGGATACCACGGCAAAATTTTGGTCAGCACGATCAGGATATTTCTGATATGCGTATATTCCCCGGTTTCCAGACAGTGCACAGATGCCTGGGAAGAGAAAGAGAAAACAGAAAAATTAACATCCGACAATAGGCGTTCCTCACCACGGCTCAGGCCCAGTTCAACGCCATTCCCGAATTTACCTTGGTTAACTTGTAATGCCATTTGTGCACCACGTGCCGGAAATTTTCGTAGTCTAATTGGTCGGCTTTGTTCACAGCGTCGTAACCACTGGATCGGAGTACAGTGATGAAGCCCGGATAATTACCGCATTCCTGTGTGGAAAGAATGGAAAAATGTAGGATGGCAATAGCACTTATATGCCGCTTTACAGTGCTTTACAGCCCTCTCTAAGCGGTTTATAGAGTCAGCCTCTTGCCCCAATAATCTAGGTCCTCATTTTACCCACCTCGGAAGGATGGAAGGCTGAGTTAACTTTCAGCTGATTTGGATGGATGGGGAAGGGAAGGGGAGGGAGGAAGGAAAGTAACTATAGAATTTAGACTTATATAGCGCTTCGCAGTGCTTTACGACCTTCTCTAAGTAGTTTACAGAATCAGCCTATTGCCCCCAACAATCTGGGTCCTCATTTTAGCAACCTCGGAGAGGTGGGTCAATCTTAAGCTGATTTGGATGGATGAATAGGAAAGGGAAGGGAAGAGAAGGATGAAGGAAGGAAACTTGCATTCGGACTTGCTTCACAGTGCTTTACAGCCCTCTCTAAGCTGTTTACAGGTTTACAGAGTCAGCCTCTTACCCCCAACAATCTGGGTCCTCATTTTACCCACCTCGGAAGGATGGAAGGCTGAGTCAACCTTGAATCTGGTGAGATTTGAACTGCCAAATTGCAGGCAGCCGGCAGAAGTAGCCTGCAATACTGCACTCTAACCACTGCGCCACCGTGGCTCTTTGGATGGTCTTTTGGCAATATTAAATTATCTCCACTGACTCCCGATTCCTTTCCAAATATATATTTTAAGTGAAGACTCAATCATCCAGGCCAAAAAGGTTTAAATCACGGCAACCGGATCAACAGTTATTAAAGCGGAGACATATTTGTTATTCATCCAAGTAAATTCTTCAGTCAAAATTCAGAACGAACATTTTGAGCGTTGTCAGAACACACCAAATCCCGCCACACCGGCCGCAGGAGGGTTTTTCTCTTCCTTAAAACACAATTAGGTGTTCACGTATTTGAATTGTACCTTTTCATATACGCTTTTGTCGCTGTGCCACTGGGTTACGGTATCTAGCATGCAGCACAAAAATCTACCATATCGACTGGCTTCGTTTTCCGTGCAGCTGGCTACTGTGTAGATGATATCGGAGAAGACCTAGAAGAAATTCGGGCATTAAAAAAAAACATGTTATGCTAAAAGAAAGGGGTTTCAATTTCCCTAACATTTAAATGGTTTTTTTGGCTGCTGGGGGGTGGGGTGGGGGGTGTTGGTTCATTTAAATCACACACTAAAGAAAAATCTTCCCCTGGGATTATCAATCTGGGACTCTGTAGGCGTTTATTTTGTTAAAATGAAAGTATTTGGGGGGGGGGGGAGGGGTGGTGTCTAGAGTAAATAAAACAAATTAAAAATCTTCCAGTAAAATTTATTTGTACACCATCCAGGGGTTCTGTATGAGGGAGATAGGTACTTTTAAAATTAGATGATAGATAGATAGATAGATAGATAGATAGATAGATAGATAGATAGATAGATAGATAGATNAATCCTTGGTTGTATAAACAGAGCATAGAATCAAAATCACGTAAAGTATTAGTACCACTCTATAAAGCCTTAGTAAGTAACTGGAATACTGCATCCAGTTTTGGTCAGCACCAGAGGTGGGTTCCTACCAGTTCGCACCTATTCGGTAGAACCGATTTGTCAAATCTACCGAACAGGTTAGAAGAGGTTCCACCAGTGGACCCGGAAAGGGGACCACACATAAAGAGGTTCCAAATTTTTTTGAAACCCACCACTGGTCAGCACATTCCAAAAAGTGCAAAGAAGAGCAACTAAGATAAATAAAAACCTGGAGACAAAAACACATTGAAGAATAGTTGCAGGAATTGGGTATGGCCAATCTATAAAAAAGAAGGACTAGGGGTGACATGATAACAGTAGTCCAATATTTGAAGGACTGCAACAAAGAAGAGGGTGTGTGTGTGATGTCAACTTATTTTCAAAGCACCAGAAGGCAAGACAAGAAACAATGGATGGAAACTAATCAAGGAGAGAAGCAACCTGGAATTAAGGAGAAAATTCCTAACAGTGAGGACAATTCTGAAGATTGCCTTCAGAAATTGTAAAGGCTTTTTTCACTTGAGGTTGAAAAGAAAAGACTGGACAACCACATATCTAAAATGGTATAGGGTCTCCTGCTTGAGCAGAGGATTGGACTAGAGCAGTGGTGGGTTGCAGGCGGTACGCCCCAGTATGGGCATACTGGAGCGTGCCCGGAGCACCGGATACCGTTCTGGTACGGTGCTCTGGAGAGCCCACCCGCCTGCCCGAGCTCCTTACTGGTCTTTTAAGTATTCTGCGCTTCTGCACATGCATGGCGCATGCAGCACCTGTGTGACACTCCACTGAGCAGCTGGAGCAATGCGGAGGCTTGCGGAAGCAGTAAGATGCATGTGCATGCTGCGCACATCCATGTGGACGACGCCAGGCCCGTTCCAACCTGTACAGATCCAGAACCCACCAATGGACTAGAAGACCTCCAAGGTCCCTTCCACCTCTATTCTGATTGACAATGGGAACCACTACTTTCCTTCCCTAACTCATTTATCTATTACATTCTACTTTGATGTATAAAATCATTGTGTAATGTATAATGGCTTTAAACTATTTCCAAATGGAAAAATGAGGGTAAAAGTGAGGTTTTAGCATTGTATCATAATCATTGTAGTATTCTACAAATCTCTAGGTCAAAGACTTTGTGTCACATTCTCAATTTTACAAAAGCTTTTTTAACAGGTGAATTGAAGTATCCTATATACGAATTCATTCATGTATCATATATCAAATCATAAGCAAATCATAAGCAGCACTGGGGTAGGCAATCCTTTTGTTACCATGGTCTACTTTTTTCCCCAGCAGCCCAGTGTATCTAAACAGGAGGAACCAAAAAGAAGTGGAAAAATAACCAGAATGACAAAAACAAGTGCAAAGAGGAAGTAAAAAGAATGAAGGTACAACCAGTAGGATTAAGTCTTCAGTATGGAAAAATATATAGGATGTATTAAAAGAAGTTGGACATTGCAAAGGAATAAAAATAAATAACTAGTTTTATTTTTACTCTGTCCTGATTTTGACCTGACAAATCTTGGATTGTATAAAATGACACAATTATATTACTGGAAGATAAGCTTCCTGAACTTCTAATCTTTTAAACTATTTAAATCCTTAGGGAGAAACTTTTGGATTTTACAAAATATTTTGTAGCCTTGAAATGATCCTAAGAACAAAAATGGCAGAATATTAAACTTCCATTGTTAATGTTTTCTCTCTTAATGCACAAATAACTAAAACCTTCCAGGAAATATTTTGGCTCATTCTTCTTATTCTGCAAGCTCAGAGAATTAGGGTTACTGGAATTTGTGCTTTACAAAAAACATGTCCTTAATTCTGGCAAACAACCACTTTTAAAGTTTATTTTCAACTTTGTGTTTAGTTTTGTGTTGTCCACCGAGAAACTAGCAAATAATCTATGGTGGTTTGTCCTAACAATTGCTTTACAGGCTGGCTTATTCAATTAAAAATTTGAGACAATTACTTAAAATACAAAAACCTTTTAATGCACATATATCAAATATGTTCAGTCATAAATGTTGCATTTGTTTCTTCCTTTTGCTGACATTATAAAGGAATTCAGAGATGACAACATAGGACAAAAAGAAGCTAGCTGTCAAGATATTATTATTATACAATGTTGAAAGCCTCCTTCAAGTCCCTGGATATTGATACCACCTCCTGGGAAACCCTGGCACAAGACTGATCAACATGGTGCACACTGAGGCTGCCAAACATCTGAGGACAGAAGAACAACCATAGCACAAGAGAAGCAAGCACTCCACAACGCCAGAGCTGCAAACGCTGCAACAATGGTTCCCACACATGCCTGCCCATCATGTGGCAGAACATTTTGTGCCCGTATAGACCTTACCAGCCACCTGCAGCCTACAACCTGTTAGATGTCAAGGTCCCCTTCAAACATGATGGACGAACATCATACACCAATAGCTGTACTGGAATCCCTGCAGTGTCCGTTTCTTGATCTAGTCAACCTTGAAGAGCTGACAGATATTTATGTTAATGAGATAATTCATTTTTAGGTAATGAAAAGGACACTGCCATATGTTAATCTACCTCCTGTTTTGAATCCTTTTCCATTCCTAGTTTTCACTTGAAACATTTGGTGTACTCCATAACTTAATTTAGAAAAACACAAATGTGCGATGACATTATTTATTTAATTTATATATTTCTGCTCTTCCTGTTCCACTACATGGCCCAAAGGAATTTTGTGCAATATCTGCAGTTGAATCAATTTTACTAATATGAAACAGACTGTTTAACAGTCCATGGAATCTGTTGTTCCCTGCAAATGGCAGCATTGTTGTTAAAAAAAATAATAATGAAAATGTAGCTCTGTGTTAACTACAGAGTGTATCAGTGGCTTGTGTATATTGGACCAAAGTCTCTGTAACAGAATGGAACCCATTTATGTTCCATAGAAACAACTATGTCAGAATTCACAATTTCCATGCAGAAGATAATACGCATATTAAAGTTAGCTCAGAAAACCCTTGATTGTTTATAGTCTCCAATTGATACAAAGAATGGATGGATACCTCCAGTATTTGTTTCTGATTCATGTCACTATCACCTACATTATCTGGTAGATTAGTAAACCTGCTTTTAAACATATGCACAGCAGTTCTTTTAAACAACTGACAAACTTGTTGAAAACAAGACTACTGGGGAAGGAAGGTGCCTGCCTGCTGATCCAAAGAGGAACATGATAAGTATTTCACCTTTCCTGATAATGTTAAATAATGTTAACCATGTTAAATAATAAATTGCTTTCTTTATTGTTTATTGGTCAAGGATGCCCCCATTTGACAACTTCTGGTTGTGGGCACAAACCTTTACTGATGACCTAGATGCTGACATCCCAACTCACGATTCCTGTATATAAAACTATTGAAAAAGAATTGTGGAAATATCAGTGTTGATATATTACTACCACTCAGAAGTTAGTAACTTCCAAAGATTATTCACATGTTTAAAAATATAATCTCTCATGAGTCATCAGTAGGATGTAGGAAGATGGTGTGTGATGCAGAAGGGAGCTTTATTTTGTGCATGGAATAACAACAGCAATAGCACTTAGTTAGCCCTCTCTAAGCAGTTTACATAAACAGTATAATGCCCTTGAAAATCTGGGTCATCATTTTACCAAACTTAAAAGTATGAGTCAACCTTGGGCCAGTCAGGATCAAAATGCAGTTTGGGCAGAGTTAGTCTGCAATATTGCATTCTAACTACTCTGTTTTCTTTTCCAGCCATTGACATGCCAGATGGGATAATTGTTATTGTTAATGGCCAGAAACTAATTAAGGAGAGAACCAACCTAGAATTAAGGAGAAATTTTCCAACAATTAGAAAAATTAATCAGTAGAATAACTTGCCTCCAGAAGTTGTAGTTATTCCAACACTGGAGGTTTTTAAGAATTCCATTTGTCTGGAATGGTATAGGGTTTCCTACTTGAGCAGGGGATTGGACTTTCCAACTCTGTTATTTTGTTAGTGGAATGATGACCTTTTAGACCTTTATTCACTCAAACAATTTTCTGTCTCAGCCAAGTACTTGGAGTCACCCAGCCCTGCCTCCTTGCATGTTACAGACAATGCTTGGGTGACATGGGAGGGGAGGTAAAATGAAACCAGGAGATCCACTGATTATTGTCATGAAATTGTGCTATGTTAAAGCATAGCACTAAACGTTCCACTCTAGAGGCAATTCAATTTATGTTGACAGGCTTTTCTGGCAACTCGAGGACATAACAAATGCATATTAATTTACCCATGAGAATTTGCCCTTAGTCTCTACTTTAGATCAGTAGGACATTGACAGGCATTGACAGGCATTGAATGATATGTGGTCTGTTAGCAGTTTGGCAGCTGGTGAAGAAATGAAAAGATGACAAGCAGCTTACTGATTCACCAAAATGCATTGCTTGGCATTTCTTTGGTATAACTCACAAAATCCCTTTATAGATAAAAATATTCTTCTTTCTTATAAATTATTTGATAATTCAGCTGCAAAA